AGATTCAATTGATTTGAAAGCCTAACAAAAGGGGAAGACTCAAGTCCTGGGGTGACTGTTCGATTATTTGAGGTAAGTTGACTTCTCAACTCTTGTTATAGAATCATGTGTTTACTTGTGCCATGTGTTGGGGAGTAATGAAACTTGGTGATGGTTGACTTTCATATTGAATAATTGTACTGATGAAAAGGGGTAATAAAAGATAATATAATTAATTATTAGTGTGTGATGTGTTGAAATAGATTTTGAAAGGCTTATTGATTCATTGTTGATGTTGTATCATGATTGTATATTGTGCATTCTAATGGAAATGTTCATCTCCTCATTAATTGTGTGAACATGTCATTCACATTTTTTTCCAAGATATAATTATGATAAGTGTTATGTGAATTGAGAAATAATAAGAAACTAAAAAGGATGTACCATTTTGAGGATGTGCCACGTGCCGCGATAAATATTATGATTCGAGGGACGTGTCGCACTCCACGACAGATTCTATTATCAGGGACATGTCGCATGCCGTGACAGATTCTATTATCGAGGATCATTTCAAACATCATGACAAATGCATGGATTGATAAGTCCCTCATGGATTCTGAACTAATAGACAACAGATTTGTATCACTAGATGAAACATACATCACTACACTTGGTATTGCATTTCAATGTGTTGCATATTTGTGCCATTTGTGAACTTGTGAGTGCCTTTCTGTGAAACTTGTCATTGGTGAACTTGACCTCAAGTGTTGTTGATATATAATTGTTAGAGTATTGTTATAGAATTATGTGCAATGTAAATTGTGAACTGTTAGGCTGTGTTGGTTTTGCAGGTTGTAGTTTTGGAGGTTCTGTTAGGGTGGTAGGATTACCCATATTCTATACTCTTAGCTCAGTGTTTAGGACTTTGTTTGCTGAGTACTGTATGGTTTGGTATTTAGCCCTTGCTCCTACATTTTCGTAGTTTATTAACCCAAACCTTCATGATACTTTCTCTTCTCTTATCTTCTTGTGGAAGTTTGTGAGGTAGCTAGTTGTCATCTCAACGAACCGTTTTTTCTCCTTATTTATAATCTTGTTCTATTCTAGAGTTAATGTCATTTAAGACATATTTTCTTTTAATTTTGTTATAACACATTAGAGGTTTGTACACGTGTCAACAAGGTTCTGGGGTACATTCAAATTTGATGATGAATTTCCGCATTATATTAATGTATTAGACTTTTATTAATTGTTTATTTCCTTACTTTATCGTAATGATTGAGTTTTAGACTGACTTATCTTGTGGGATAAGACGAGTGTCATCATGTTCATTTTTTTATTGTGATACTACAATTATGTATACTGAATAGTCTGAATAATCTAATAACAAATACTTTTTTTTATAAAACAACAAATAATACTACTAATAACATGTGTGTAATGAAACTTTGATCCAGTTCATGCTTAACAAAATTATGTTATCATTATCATTAGAGAAGTATGAAGATTTTTTCTTTCAGTCATTTTTTTTTATAAAAGTTTATTTTGAAATCGTAGAGAACTTTATATATCCTTTCCGTGCTATTATAATTTGTTCAACGAAGAATCATCAACAATTTTATCAAAAAAAATATATGTATATGCCTCTAGTATTAAAATAAATAAAAATATTAATTTTAGAGCGTTTTGTACTTTTGTATGATGTGACAATCACATATAGAAAAAATATGATAATACTTTCGGTTTTCTTTCATATCTTATATCCATACTATGAATAATGAGACTTATTATTTAACTTTTTTAGAAATTTGATGTATAACAACAACCAACAACTCCTTAAATAAGTAAGAGTAATTGTTTTACCAACTTGATAGTTTTTAATTTTGGATGTTATAGATATAACTTTTTAATATATAAACTTAGATATAATTTATCTTTACAACAATTTAAAATTATAAAACTAAAATAGATAATCTACAATGTACTCCTCTTTTATTTTTTAATTTTTTTAATCATTAAAAAATAAGAAAAGGAAAATGAATAAATAAAAATAATAAGTAAAAGTGAGGAAATTTGAAAAAAAAAGAAAAAAAAAGAGGAGAATACACAAGTAAAGTGAAAATTATATTTTCTACTATTACAATCACAATTTTAATATCTTTTATGTAAAATGATTTTTTTTAAAATCTTAAAAAATTCAAGAGAGAAGAAGGAGTGAGACTTGCATTCTTTTGGGTGGGTTTAATGGTCCTTTTTCCATGTTATCATAATCAATCTCATTAATTATTTTTGTTGTAAACATATTTGTATCATAGCGAATGTCTAGTTATGTGGAGTTCTTTAGGATATGGTTAGGAATCCTACTTGGAGACAAGTTAGCTTTCCCTTATAAATAAAGGGTTTTCCTTCATTATAAAGAAAATCTATGAATCCTGAATATACTTCAACATGAATAAGAAATCTTTTCTCTTCTCCCTACTTTATTCTTTTTCTTGTTTATATAGTATCATAACACATTATCAGCACGAGTTTTTACCACTTTGAGGTATACTTTGAAAAGTATCAAGGATTGGAGTGAGAACCGTAAAATGCCGTTAGTCGTGGAAAATATTTGGTGAAAATTTATGTAATAAACTTTCAGTGGAAATCCCTTAAAAGCAACAAGTGCTTTGAAGCCGATAGGTTTTAGTTTTAGTAATTTTTAACATATTATCGTAGTTTTCATCTCTGAAGAAAAGTGATTTTGAGCTTTTGACTTATTGTCGTTTGATTTAATATTTTTATTTCACTTGTAAAGTTACGTGCTCATTAGTACATGATTACATTGGTACCTGATCAGAATGTCAACAATATGTGGCATAAATACTTCGAATCAAGTTGAAGAAGCCTTACCCCAGAACAAGAACCAGGTTCTTGTAAGTTGCTTTTAAGTAAAGACACAAAAACTTATTGAATTAAAAACCTTCCTCACTCAAGGAAGGAAAAACCTCGTTTTATTAATTCAACTATAAGATTTTGTGATAACAACTCAATAATCAAAAGTCTTATCTCTACTACCTCCTCGATTGACTCCAATCGATCTCTCCAAAAGGCCAAACCCACCTTTTGTTACAACTCTTACTAACACTCAACCCTACAAAGAGCCAAACCCACCCTTTGTACAATAAACTGTAAATTACAATCAAAACAAAGAACAAGACAAATAGTTCTACACGATAAAACCTTCTCACTCAAGAATGTTTTAAACGTAGTAATCCTATCAACCTTGAAGACTTCAGTTTGATGAATATTTCTCCCTTGTTTTCTGCGTGAAGTCGTGCCTTTCTTCCTCTGCCTCGTGCTCCTCTTATAGAGTTTATTTTGCCTTGTACAATCCTTATCTGATAAGGTAAGGAAGTTATGTTTAAACAAGGATTCTTTTTTAAAGTACAATCCTTATTATACACAACTTCCTTCCTTAATAATATATTTAAGATTTTCCTTATTTGTATTAAATTGTACCTTTAATATATTATTCTTGACTTTGACAAATAACTCCATTTTACTTGATCTTGGACTCTAGCTTGACTTCTTTTGCTGCGTACATTTGCTACTGTTCTTTGCGCTTCTTGTCTATCATCAAAACATGAATTATCGATTCTATCATATTCTATCATATTCCCCCTTTTTGATGAAGACAAACGTGTAACGTGTGATGCATGTGCAAATACTCTTCCCCCTTTTGACGAATCAAAAAGAATCCAACAGCGGCTAAACAACTCTAATCAATATCCATAGCAACAAAATACGCCCAACCAGTTGAGCAATATAAAATGTTCTGGCAACAAAACAGAGAGCAACAATACAGAGTGAAACCAACTAAGAGAACCAGGTTCAAACAACATGCTTTGTCACTGTGGAGGTTGACCAGGCTTAGTTGAAGCAGAAGCCAACATATCCAAAACTCTGTCGATTCTTGCGTTGTTAGCAAGTTGTTGCTGCACCAACTGATCCTTCAACCTGTGTATTTTGGCATTTGAAGAATCAAGCTCAGCACGTAACTTCTGGTTTTCTGACTCAAGAGCGGCGTTCTTTTCTTCAGCTACTTTAAGTTCCCTGAGTAACTGAGCAACAGGACAAGATGTACGTGGAGACGCAGTTGCAACCTGCTCCGACTCCATGGGAATGCCACAATAAGCAAGGATGGTTTGAGTGAGCATATCTGCACGAGTTAAAATCTTGCCTTCTCCCAATGGTACTTCAAATGCATCAAACACTCTAGTCAACAAGTTTCCAAAAGCTAAATGATGAGAACCTAGCTTAGGATCCACAATTCTAGCAAGATGTTTGATAATCAGTGTGGGCCAATTAATACGTTCTTTGCACTCAAGTGCATTCATACGTCTCATGTCTCTTATGGAGGCAATGTGACGTTGGGGACCTCTAGGCAGTATCACCTTATGAACTATCTCGAAAAGAAGCTTATGCAAAGATCTCATTATTCCCTTTAAAACAGTTTGAGCCCTAGAATTGACTCTACCTTGAGAGAATTTGGCTGGCAGGCTAGAATATTCATCAAAACCCCAATTATACTCATTTATCCCCCACAGATGGTATATGCAGGATTTCCCCAAGTTTGGTTGCATCAAACACAATCTCAACCCCCTTTACACTGGACGACACCACATCTCCTTCTAAGATTACCAAGTTTGTATATAAATCTACCACTTCCTTTTCATAAATCAAACTAGGTTCAAGGAATAACTCCTGCCACCCCTGAAACCTTAGTAGTTCACAAACTTGCTTCACTATATCCATTGAAAGTATATCAGGGTGAAAGGTTCTACCCCTAAGCACTGATTTGGTTTGGAAGTACTTTTTCCTTCCCACTTTTAGAAATTTATCTGCATTTCTTTTTGCAGATTTTGATTTTGATTGGGGAGTAGTAGAATGTTTACCCTCAGACACACCATCAGTTTCAGAATCAAGATCCATTGGAGATACTGATGAATGAACAGGAGACTTACCCAATCGCCGATGCTTCACCCAGATGTTGCATCATCAGTTGGCTTGACCACATGCGCACTCCTTGTCACTGGCCGGTGTGGACGAACCTGTTTAACTGCAATGTGCTTTCTTGGCCTCCTTAGTTTTTTAGGGTGAAGGGAGCTCAAAAGAATATCATCATGGATTGGGGATGGTGGTGGATTTTGAGGAGTTGTGTGGTGAGATAGGGAAGGAGGGGGATTATTTGGGACAGTGGTTGTGGGAGATTCTGGGTTTGGTGATAGTGGGGTTTCTTGGACCGGTGATAATGGGGTTTCTTGGACTGGTGATGGTGGAGATTCGATGATGGGTGGTGGTGGGGAGTTTTCAACGACAGGTGAAGATGCTTCTATAGCTGGAGATGGTGAAGAAGTTACTTGTGGTGGCGGAGATATAGCTTTTGGTGGTGGAGATGGAGTTTTTGGTGGTGGAGATGGAGTTGTTGGTGGTGGAGATGGAGGCAGATCTGATTTGGATGAGGATGTAGGTGGTTTGGGTGGCAGTTGTCTTTCTTCCTCAAGATTTGGTACAACATCAACAACTAGGTTCTCTTCCCCCTGAGAAAATGCACTATCAGACAAGCTTTCGTCATCAGAGTAAGAAACAAGTGGATTAACCATGGTGATGGAAGGGATTTTGTGTTCTTGTTTTTCTGAAGAATGAAGATGAGAGAAGTTTGGTTGCTTGTTTAGAGAGAGTGCTTTATTGGGAACGGTTTTGATGTTGTATTTGAGGGGTGTGAGTAATTATGGGGGATTGACATCGAGGAGACGTGTGTTGTGACGGTTGCACCTGCTTTTCAGAGGAGTGACATGGGAGAGAGAAGATGAAATTGATTTCCCCCAAAAAAAATTTATTTATTTTTTTCAAAAAAAACAAAATTTCCTTTTTTTTTAAAGCAGTTAAATGTACAAAAAGATGTAGAACCAACTTAACTGAACCTGGTTTATATCTCCTTAGAACTTGGTTGGACAGAGTTCAATCCAAAAAGATGAGCCCTAACTCAAGTCTATTTTTCTGAAATGACTCTCTTCCTAGTGCCTTGGTGAAAATGTCAGCAACTTGATTCTCAGTTTTGCAGAACTCCATTACTATGTTTCCTTTTTCAACATTATCACGAAGAAAGTGATGTCTAACATCTATGTGTTTGGTGCGTTTGTGTTGAACTGGGTTTTTGGCCATGTTCATAGCACTTGTGTTATCACATAGAATAGGAATACAACCTGTTTCTATACCAAAGTCTTTAAGCTGCTGTTTTATCCAAAGGAGTTGGGCACAACATGAAGCAGCTGCAACATACTCAGCCTCTGTAGTAGATAGAGCCACTGAATTTTGTTTTCTAGTTGCCCAAGATATTAAACATGGTCCTAAAAAGTGTGCCATCCCAGAGGTACTTTTTCTATAAACCATATGTACTGCATAATCTGCGTCAGCAAATCCCTTTAGATCAAAAGAGTCACCAGTTGGATACCAGAGAACCAGGTTCATTGTGCCTTTCAAATATCTCGAGATTCTCTTCACAGCTTTCAGATGTGATTCCTTTGGACAAGACTGAAACCTTGCACATAGACCAACACTGAACACTACATCAGGTCTACTGGCAGTGAGATATAGGAGTGATCCAATCATACCTCTATATCTGGTGTCGTTGACTGATGAACCTGGTTCATCTTTATCAAGCTTTGTTTTTGTCCCAATGGGGTTGTCATTTGACTTGGCTTCATTCATATCATACTTCTTCAATAATTCCTTGGTGTATTTTTGTTGATGAATTGATGGTCCAACTGAAGTTTGCTTAATTCGGAGTCCCAAAAAGAAGTTCAACTCTCCCATCATACTCATCTCAAACTCAATATTCATTAGTTGAGCAAATTCTACTCCCAGTGAGTCATTGGTTCCTCCAAATATGATGTCATCTACATATACTTGGACTATGAACAGATCTTTACCTTGTTTTCAAAGAAACAGTGTATTATCAATTTTTCCTCTTGTATATCCATGTGTGAGAAGGAAAGTAGACAATCGATCATACCATGCTCTAGGTGCTTGTTTTAACCCATAGAGTGCTTTGTCCAGTTTATATACATGATCAGGATACATGGTATTCTCAAAACCTGGGGGTTGTTTTACATACACCTCTTCTTGTAGGTAACCATTTAAGAAGGCGCTTTTGACATCCATTTGGTAGAGTTTGAACTCCATGTGAGCAGCATATGCGACCAATATTCTAATTGCCTCAATTCTTGCTACTGGTGCAAAGGTTTCATCATAGTATATACCTTCTTCTTGGTTGTATCCCTGTACAACTAGCCTAGCTTTGTTGCGCACTATTTGACCTTGCTCATCGAGCTTGTTTCTAAACACCCACCTAGTTCCTATCAGTGTCCTGTTTTGGGGTTTTGGAACAAGGTTCCGCACTCTACTTCATTCAAACTGGTTGAGTTCTTCTTGCATAGCACCAATCCAATCAGAGTCTAGCAGTGCTTTCTTTATATTTTTAGGCTCAATCAGGGACACATAGGCAGAGAATGCACACATACTACGTAATTTGGACCTTGTAGATATGCCTGAGTTAAGAGGAGTAAGAAAGTTTTGCAAAGGGTGAGAACTTTGATGTTTCCAACTGTGAGTTGGAACACTTCCTGGTTCTTGAGGTGCAGATGAACCAGTTTCATTGGTAGACTTATCTCCTATTTCAGATGTTTTATCAGAGGGTATGGGTTCTTTTTCACATATTTTTGGTTCTGATGGCTTGGAGAAGGTTCCCTCATTTTATTCATCCTCTGAATTTCCTTCTTCACTAGTATGTTCATTAAAGACAACATGGACACTTTATTCTACACGGTTTGTTCTTTTGTTCAGTACCTTGTAGGCCTTGCTTTGTGATGAGTAGCCCAGAAAAATTCCTTCATCACTCTTGGCATCAAATTTTCCCAAATTATCTTTGTCATTGTTGTGTATAAAGCATACACACCCAAAGGCCCTAAGATGTGCTAGATTTGGTTTTCTTCCTTTTAGCAGCTCATATGGTGTTTTGTTTAACACTGATCTGATCATACATCTGTTTATTAGATAACATCCTGTGTTCACTGCTTCAGCCCAATAGAATTTTGGAAGTTTGCTTGAGATTAGCATTGTTCTTGCAATATCTTCCAGTGTTCAATTTTTTCTCTCAACAACACCATTTTGTCGTGGTGTTCTAGGTGCTGAAAAGTTATGCTCAATCCCATTTGTAGTACAAAATTGTAGGAATTGTGAGTTCTCAAACTCCAACCCATGATCAGATCTGATGCTGATTATTTCTTTGTTGAATTTCTTCTGAACCAGCTTTGTAAAGATTTCAAACATAGTGAATGTCTCATCCTTTGTTGCAAGAAACAATGTCCAAGTGAATCTTGAGTAGTCATCAACTATTACAAACACATATCTTTTTCCACCCCTGCTTAGTACACGCATTGGTCCACACAGATCCATGTGAAGCAGCTCTAGTGGCTTTGTAGTACTTACTGTCAACTTTGGTTTGAAGGATGACCTAACCTGTTTTCCTTGAATGCAGGTTCCACATACTTGGTTGTCCTTGAAACTTTTGGTTGGCATTCCCCTAACCAGGTCTTTAGATATGAGCTTGTTTATAGTTGTCATGCTAATGTGTCCCATTCTTTTGTGCCATAGCATAGAGCAATCAGACACTGCACTTAGACATTTAACAGTACCTTCCTTGGAGTCAACAATCTTGGCTTTGTACACATTCTTGTGTCTCTTACCTAGTAGAACCAGGTTCCCAGCCTCTGAGTTTGTTACTCTGCATTCCTTTTCTGTAAAAAGAACGTTATTTCCTTTATCACATATTTGAGATACGCTCAATACAAAGAGGAATTGAACCTCTTCTAGTTTTTTGAAAACTCTAATCCATTTGATGTCCGCCACCCTTCCCCTCCTCCTTCCTCCGTTAGTTTAGATTATGTTTTAGGCCATTGACATAATATACATTCTCAATTGCATGAGTATCCATTGATCCAACCTTTCCAATTCCCTGAATTTCACCACTTTTGCCATTACCAAAGGCAACGTTTCCTCTGTTGATGTTCTTGAGTGAGAGGAAGCTTCTTTTATCTCCAGTCATGTGTCTGAAACATGCACTATCCAGGTACCATTGTTGCTGCTTCCTCTTCACTGATCCCTGCAATTTAATTTTGGGAATTAGATTTTTGGTACCTAAATCCACTTTGATTTATGCTTAGGGAATGGGTGGATAAGATTTCTTCTGGCCCATCTAGGAAGAGATTTGACTTTAGGAATTTGTTTTTGCTCATTGGGTTTCTCATGATGAGGTTTTCTTAAGGACTTCAAGTTTTTGTTATGAGCAGTTTGTTTTCTTTGACAATCATGGCTTTCATGCCCTACCAGCCCACAGTGCATGCATAGACGATCTATGCTGGGATTTTTTACTTGAGAGCTAGTTCTATCAAAACCTATCCCATGTTTCTCAGATGTGCGATTCTTGTGCATGTTGTCAAGCAGTATGGAAGACCTGGTCCATCTCATTCCATTTTATGCTTCAGTTTTAGTCACAAGAAGCTCTTTCGAGAGTGCTTCATTCCTTTTAGTTACCAAGTCTAGGTTTTTACTTAGTTTAGCATTCTTGGATAAAAGATGAAGATTCTGTTTTTCAAGAATCTTGTTTTCTTCTCTTAGTGATGCATAGTCTTCCATTGTCAATTCCCTTTTTGAGTCTACAGTTTTATATGCATCAATGAGAGTGTAGAGTAGGGATTCTAGCTCCCTTTTTGGGTATGAGCTTAGATTGTCTTGTATGTGATGAAGACTAACCTTTTCATTCATATCTTATTCTTCTTTATCCTCTTCAGAATCTGATCCAGCCATGAGTGCTAGTATGGTTTCTTGTGATCTGCAAGTTTCCTTTTCTTCCTTGGTTTCCACTGCTACAAGGGCAAGAAAGTCATAATCATCTTCTTGTTCTAGTGCAAAAAGAGACTAGTTTTCTGTCTCATCACCCTCAGACTCTTCATCAGATGAATTCCCCATTGCTGCAAAAGCCCTCTTCATTGACATGTCTACCTCTTGAGTTGTCATTCTTCTGTTTGAGGGGACAAACTTATCCTTTTTGATATCTTTCCCCTTCTCAAAGTTTACCTTTTTCTGCTCTAAGGCCCAAAGTGGACAGAATTTGATGAAGTGTTCTGGGCTTCCACACTTATGACAAACCTGGTCTTTAGTGTTTTCAGATGGTTTTTGAAAAACTTTCTTTTGAAAGGTCTGCCCTCTCTTTGGCATTCTGGTGAACCTTTTGGTTATGAGGGCAATATTTTCATCTTCAAAATCATCTGATGCAGTAGCCTTTAGAACCAGGTTCCTTTCCTTTCTTTTTCCTCCAATTTCCTTTTCTTGGTTTTTCTTGAGTTCGTATGTGATGAGATTACCAATTAACTCATCCATTGCCAGTGAGTCTAGGTCGCGGGCTTCAGTGATAGCCTCAACTTTGCTTTCCCAAGTTTCAGGAAGGACACTCAAGAGTTTCCTTACTGCCTTTCCGTTAGGCACTATCTCTCCTAAAGAGTACATCTCATTAATGATGGAGGTGAACCTGGTATGCATGTCT